CAAAACATTTATTTTATTCCATGTCATTTAATTTTACCTATTGTCAAATATCCAAACGTAGCTTAATTAATTTCTAAAAAAATATTCAATAGATAAATTTGACCATATCTAACAAACATTAGTTACCAAATTGATTGCGTATTCGTATGCTTCACACATGTACCTTTCTACTATTTTAAGATTATTTAACTTGACATTAATTTTACCTTTTTAAGGATTTGTGATATCAAATGATAATTTTGAATATTAAAAAAATTATAAATTTAATCTTTACAAAATTTTTAAATTTAATTTTTATATAGAAAAATTACAATTTAATTTTTATATGAGTAAATATTCTTTAAATTAATAATTTTCATTTAAAATTATGTTCACGGTTTCAAAGGAAAATGATCAAAATGTCAAAAAGCAATCATATAAAGACTAAAAAAAATTTAAACTAGATACTAATTTGTTAAATATGCATTTTAACTAAATTTAAAAAAATATTAAAAAAATACGAAGTGAAAAGCTCGTCAAATTATAAGATACTAGAAACTTGTATTTTTAAAAGATTAAAAATTAAAATAAAAAATATTCATTTCAATCTTTAGGATTAGATTTAATCAACTAATTATAGTAAACTATTATTCAAATAATAAATATTTATTAAATTTATATTTTAAAAGATAAAAATTAAAATTAAAATATTAATTTCAACCATCAATATTAAGTTTAATCAACTAATTATAGTAAAATTTTATAAAAATAAAAAAATTATTATAACTTTATAATAGCTAAATGTGAATTTTAAATAAAAATGAAAAAAATATTTTAAAAAATAAAGTAATGAATAAAAATTCACAAAATTTTAAGAGACTAAAATTTATATTTTCAAACAAATTTATATTTAATGTAGTTTCATATATTAAAGGATAGTAAACATCTTATTTCTTATAGAAGAAAATATTTTTTTTATTTTTTAAAATTCTTTTGTAATTGATGTGTAATAAAAATAATAATAATAATATTAATGTTGATAGTTTATTCACTCATTTGAAGATATATAAAAGATAAAAATATAAAGTAAAAAATATTAATTTTGACCCATAAAAATGAGTTCAAATATCCAATTATAATAATTTTTTTTAAAAAAATATTTATTATACTTTGATAACTTTAATGAATGCATTATTTTTTTAATAAAAATTTCGTCCACACTAAGAATTAAGATTATTTATAAAGTGAGAGTTAAGTATAAAAAAAATTGTGAATAATAAATACAAAAAGTTAAACATAATTAAAACTCTTTTAATTGTCTCTAAAAATAAGTCAATTACATATTTTGTCAAATAATCTAGTTAAAATATTATGACATTTTAAATTACTTTTTCTTACTATCTGTAAGTTAGTCCTTGATTACAAAGTTGGGCTTATAATTAAAAAATTGATAAAACTTTCAATCTTCAGATAATAATAATAATAATTGTTTATATTAATTTTTTATTTATTTAAATTATTTGATTAATCTCTCACATAACAGTCTAATATATTTAAGTCTATATCATTAATTATTTATATCTTTTATATTTTTAAAATTAAAAATAATATTTTTATTCAATAAATATAAAAAATTATTATAGAAGCAAATAATGAGCATTTGGAAATATTAATTAATTTTTTGTATTTGTCTCTGAATTGGTCTGAAATAGATTTCTTTAACTCAGTACACAAGTAAATGAACCTCTCCCCTTTCTTTGTTACATGAAAAATAAAAAAGCAGCATTTATAAATTGTTTGCCAAATTATTTGTTGCAAATCAATCTGTACAATTAAAATTGGGTGTGACATAGTGACATTGACGTTAGATATTTAGGTTTCTAAATTTTCTTTTTCCTGTTTAAGAGATAATACATTTAATGTAATTAATTTTATAAATTCAATATAACAAAATAAGAATTGTTATATCTGCACGTTATTTTATTTTATCTTCGATCTAATGCATAGTGATTCATACCATTAATACAAAAGTAGTATTTTAACAACAGACTATGATTATGTCAGATTAAAATAGTTATAAATTAATTGAAAATTAAAAAAAAATCGTGTACAAGCTAAGAAATTAATTTTTAATTAAAAATTAAGCTGATTTATTAAATTTAAAATATTCAATATAATTTATTTTAAAACTAATTAACAAATATAAAATGAGACATTTATATATTTTAATATATTTTCACAGAGGTAAATACATATAATATTAAAGAAGGAGATTACTGAAACAAATAGAGTAATGTCAAATATTGAAGATGAAAAAAAACAATACTAAATTATTATAAGAGTTATTTTAAGAAAGCAATATAACTTAATGAGATAAATTGTATGTATATACACTTCTAACTATAATACTATAAACATGATATCTGCAAATATGATATTATCTATTTTTTATTTTTATTTAAGCTTTTTTACTTTTAATTTATAAAAATTCTAAAAGTTATAAATTTTTAATCTTATTAATATAATAAAATTATGATAAATAACATTATTTTAAAGATTTTTTCTTATTTTGTTTCCGTTATTTTAATAATTGGATGACATTTTATCTATTTTTAATTTTTTAAAAATGGTAATTACGATTGTATTACATTTATTAAATACAATATTTGGATATAATTGTAATAAATAATTTCTATTATTTAATAAAAAATGTGTAATCTACTCATAAATATTCTTATTCTTATCTTTAGGAGCTATGCTCTTTTGTAGTTTGTTTTGTATTTAACCTTTAATTTAATTTTAAAAATATTGTTTGTTAATTTTAATATCAAATCTTGCTTCATTATTTTAAAGTAAAAATTGTTTTTAAATAAACTATATTTAAAGATCATTGACCTTTATAGTGTTAAAAAAGAGTTTGGTATTTTAAAAGGAAGCTAATCATCTTTATACAGTTCGTCACGTAGAATTACATTTTACATTTTGTTTTCACTTCAATTTTTTTTCTTTTTATTCATATATTGGTTAATTTTATTTTAAATTTTGTAAATTAAAGTTATTACCTAACTTTTTCTTTAGTACTTTATATAAATTTTTATATTTTTTATGTATACTTATTTTGATATTTATAAAAAATTATTTCTGTTTTTAAATTTAGAGTTTACTTTTAATCGTCTCATTTATTAAATTTATTATTATTAATATATATTGATTATTGATATTTAATTCAAAAATATTTTTCTATATTATACAATAAAAATATTATTTTAAAAATTATACTTTAAAGCTATTTAATTTTATTAAATTGTATCACTTTGATATATTACTGTTCATAATTATAAAGTTATGTTAAAATTATTTTTAAAAAATTATTATTTAAAATATTATATATATAATTATTTAAAAAATTATAATTGTTTAAAATAAAACATACATGCATTTCACAGTCTATGAAACTAGTTATAGTATAATGAATCGATCTTAATTTGCATTGGTTTTGAGATACCATTTCATCCTTTCAATATGGTTTTTGTCAATTTATTTAGAGTTTTTTTTATAACATGAAATATTTAAAACGGGATTTAAATAATATATGTGGAAAGTGAAAAGATGATAAAATTTATCAATAAGTGAAAATAATAATAATAATAATTTTTCCTAATTTACAATAAAAATAAACAAGATTTTTATAAAATAATTAATTATATTACTTCTCTTTGGGTCATCGATTATTCTATAAAAGACATATATATATATATATATTATTTTTTATATAATGATTCGTTTATTATAGTTATATTTTAACATTCTATAACAAGTTATATTTGATTCATCTTGATCGTTTATGATATAAGTTATACATCTAATGGTAATTTATTTTTTTAAGTCCATTTTAGACTAATTTTAAAGTAATTCACGTTAAAAAAAACAGTTTTTTATTTAACTAAAACTAATAAATATTTGGGCCAATGTAAAAAAGAAATTCTTTTACATTTTATTGCTCGTAATATGTTTAATAAATTTTGGATGGATAACTAAGCACATATTTATTTCCTTCTATTTTTAAATGTTTATTAGTAAAACAAAGTAGACAAATTTGTAAAGATTTTGTTAACTAATATTTTAAAAAATTCATCAAAAATGAAAATTTTCTAAATTATGGCAAAAATATATTATATATATAATAAATTTTATAATTCCAAAACAACTCTTTCCTTTCATACTGATAATATTTACCTTTTTTTGAGCAATAGGCTATAAACAGTTTTCAATGATAATTCTTTTTAGGAAAAATATCCTGTATACAAATCTTTCTATGTCCAAATAGAAATTAGTTTTAAACTCTTTACTATTAATCTATTATAAATATTTTTTAAATTCTGACTTAAAAGAAAATCTCTAACACTGAGTTTAAGCATTAAAAAGTGGTGTTGACAATTGCTTTTAATTATTACACTTTTTTTAAGATAATAAATAAATTTTTGTGAAAGATTTATTGCCTTTATATATTAAACTCAATTATAACATACCAAAGTTAACACAAACTATAAAAAAGAGTACAGTAACAAGTAAAAATTAAATAATAAAAGCTTTGGTAAAAAATATTACTACAAAATGTGAAGAAAAAACAGAAAAATCCAAAAAAAAATGGTAAAATAAGAACGAGGAAGAAAAATCTGAACGGCACGGTGCCTTCACTCAATGAACAAACAGCGTTGCAGACAAAATATCCAAACCATCTCATTTATTGCTAACGCAATGACAGACATAGTTTATATATATTAAGATTAATTTTTATTTATAATTCGTAATTAATTTTTATCCTTTTTTTAATTATTTTTCTATTTTTTTTCTTCAACTCATCTAACACTCGTGAAATATAAAAGTTCTTTTCTTAATCATCACAAAACGCAACCCAAGTACTCTTCTTTCTCTTCCTCTCTCTATCTTTCTATCTCTATCTATATATAACTCTCTTCACCAAACAAAATCAAACCCCAAAACCAAAACCAAAACCAAAACCTCTCAACCCATCGTTCTCACTGTCTCTTTTTCTCTCTAGTCTCCACATTGTAAAAGAACTAAAAGACAATCATGGGTACCCGAACCCGTACCCGAAAAGGTTGCTCCACCCTTTTATTTTCTTCAATTCTATTAACCCTTTGTCTCTTGAACATTCCCAATGGACATGCCATTTCCAACCCCATCAAAACCGTCGTCGTTTTGGTGATGGAGAATCGATCCTTCGACCACATGCTGGGTTGGATGAAGAAGCTCAACCCGGCCATCAACGGCGTAACCGGGTCGGAGTACAATTTGTTATCCGCATCCGACCCGAATTCAAAACGGTTCTTTTTTAAGAACCAGGCTCATGACGTGGACCCGGATCCGGGTCACTCGTTCCAAGCCATTAGAGAACAAATATTCGGGTCAAATGAAACTTCGGCTGACCCGGCTCCGATGAACGGGTTCGCACAACAAGCTTATGCAATGGACAACACTTCACATATGTCTGAGAATGTTATGAACGGATTCGAACCTGACATGGTCGCTGTTTATAAGACACTCGTTTCTGAATTTGCTGTTTTCGACAGGTGAGAATGAGATTCCCCTGCAAACTTATCACTTTTTTTTTTCTCTTCTAAATTTTAATTCTATTTTTTTATATTAATGATTTTAAGATATATTAATTTGAGTCTAGCTCCACATGATGGCAATGTGTCTCTTCAATGCTTTAGATTAGATGGGACCATATGAAAGGGTCTAAAAAGAAGAGAAATCATCGCACACAATTCTCTACCAACTGTTTCTTACTTCAATCATCAAACAGTGCAATGTTCTTTATAAATATCTTCGCAGCTACTTTGGGTATCATATTCGCACACACATATCATCATCATACATTTATATATCTTCAGCATATAGTTTTGGTGTTTTTTAAACCATTGGACACTTATGCTTCGGTTTCAAATGTTCAATTTAAAACGAAAACAAGTCTTGGGCGTGTTATGGTTAAATATAACTATGTTGTGAAGTTATATCAGTCTATTATTGCATATGAAAATGATACCCTTTTTCCCTGCGGAAATTTTGGATTCTGTTTCGTTTAGTAGAAGAAACTTTGTGTAAAAGCTTCTACGCATTTAGCTTTATTGTTTACAAATAATTCCATATAAGAAGAAATGGAGAAAAACGAGTAAATCTCTGTTTCCTTTAATTGCATTGTTTTAATGGTTCTTTTCCTTATTCCTACCCATGCACGTAATATTAAAGATTTTGTTAAAATTATATTTATTATATTAAAATTATAAAAAGTAATCAAAACTTTAGTTTTTAATAGAAACTTATTAATATTTCTTGTTTAAACTCAATTTTGAAGACTGTAATTAATAATTTTTTAATTATTCATATAACCTTTCCCCTATGAAATACTAACGAAATCACTCGATCTTGGAATCTAGCTAATTAAATGTATACATAGTAATACTTAATAATTGACAAATTTTTTTTTTATTATTAATCTTGATATTTTTATATTAAGTTGACAAAAACCATTTGAAAGCACTTCAGGATATTGTTACATTAAATATTTTAAAATATTTTTTTAAAATATTATAATATTTAATAAAAATTTATCATATATAAATTATTATTATTTATTATCTATTTTTGGTAAAATTTTAAAAAATGTTATATAAAAACACTATATTATACCATAAAATTTCATGTTCATAGGTGGTTTGCCTCCGTGCCGTCCTCCACTCAGCCCAACCGGCTCTACGTGCACTCGGCGACGTCCGGCGGCGCGACGAGCAACGTGGCGGCGAAACTCGCGGCGGGCTACCCGCAACAAACAATCTTCGACAATCTGTATGACGCCGGAGTCAACTTCGGAATATACTTCCAGAATATTCCGGCGACATTATTCTATAGGAACCTAAGGAAAATAAAGTACGTGCCAAAGTTCCACCCATACGACCTGTCGTTTAAGCGAGATGCAAAAGCAGGCAAGTTACCGGGTTATGTTGTGGTGGAGCAGCGGTACATGGACTCTAAGCTGTTGCCAGCCAATGACGACCACCCTTCGCATGACGTGTACGAGGGACAGATGTTCGTGAAGGAGGTGTACGAGACGCTGAGGGCGAGCCCGCAGTGGAACGAAACCCTGTTTGTGATCACGTACGATGAGCATGGTGGGTTTTTTGATCACGTGCCTACGCCGGTGCGTGGTGTTCCAAGCCCTGATGGGATTGTGGGCCCAGAGCCATTCAATTTCACCTTTAATAGGTTGGGAGTTAGGGTTCCAACTATTGCTATCTCTCCTTGGATTGACAAGGCCACTGGTAAAATCTTTCATTTCAAATGCAATTTTTACTCAATTTTTTTATATTTGTTTATCAACTTATGTTGTTGGGAATTTTTATTTTTAATTAAATTTTAATAAATTTTAACTAATAGATAAGAGTATATTAGATAAAGTATTTTTATCACATCTCTCATTATTATTGTTAATTTAAAAATTCTAACAATAATTCTTAAGATTCATTTTAAATATCTAAAAAATCATTAAGAATTAAGTAAGTGTGTGTTGTTATTTTATTACAAGCACAAAATTGAAGTAGCTAGAATAATTTTATCCAAGGTATAATAATCATTACATTTCACTCTTTCAATATGAAAAATATACGAACTTTTTTAGTTTTGTTATATTTTTTAATAAATATATATCTATTATCTTGAAAATATAAAAAATATTTAACAATTTCTTCAATTAATAAAATTATAAACATAAAATATAGAAAGATTTAAAATTATTTATTTATTTCCTTAAATACGACCTTATCATCTTGGCATTCCCCCCTACCTCACTAAATGTTTACGGTTACACTACCACTATTAATATGATGATTTATGATTGTTCACCCAACTTGTAAGAGAAGGAAACTAAAATATATTCAGATTCTCTTTTTCTCCCTCACCATGCACACCTCATTTGACTTCACATATTATGGATCCATGATCTCAATAAAATAACTTGCTTTATGTTAGGCATCACTCACACCATTCATAGGCTCCCACGTAACAATCTCATTTTCACACTACTTTGGAAAAAGACAATTCAAATAAAGTGGGATGCGGTGTTGAGTGGGACCATAAAGCTTTTTGGGTTTCAATTTTCAGTTGTCAAAGTGCATAATGTGAAACCTCATTACTAAGGATATTTCCAACAATGGCAAATAATCACACCCACAAGAAACTGACCTTTGCTTTTTTTGCCAGTTCATAGTGTGTAAGCAAATTAGTTGCTACATGTCTTAAGCAAAAACCAAGGGGCCAATAATGCTGGGAAATTATGTATTGGTTGACTTATTAGTTAAGGTTGAGAAATGGGTTATCTAAGGTACTTGGCTGGATTAAAATATCACTCTTTAAATGTGTAAATTGATAGCGCACCATGTGCTGTAGATCATGATTGAATAATATATTGAAATATGTTTTGTAGTGTTGAAAAGATGGCAAAAGGGGATAATAAATTGATAACAAAGTACTAAGTTTTGTGAAGGGGAAAACAAAGTTATTTTTTTTCGGTACAAAGGAATGTGCTGAAACTGAAAGCCAAAATGTTATTTTTGGTGCCTTTGAGGAAATAAAATAAATGGTCCTCTAGTTGGTTCTGTCCATGATCCAACTTGATGGGCATGCTGCCAGGGAGGAAACTTCTGGGCTCTAGCATGACTAGAAGACAAGTTGAATAAGCAAATGCCCTTTGCTAGTTAATGATGTGATGTGGTAATTAGTTCAATTTTAGATTCTTTAACTATCTTAAAGTAAATAATTTATTTCTTCAAGTCAAATTGAGTATATAGAATCTATAATTTTATTTTTTTATTTATTCGTGTATAATAGAGGAGACTTAAGAAACTATAATTAAAGAAATAATGAAAATTTGAGTAAGCAACTGAGAAGCATTTTGCTCAAGTTAACATAATGTTATCACAATTTTTGTGTCCACTTGAACGGAACTAATGAATCTCATTTCTGTGCTATAAAAAGATGTAATTATTGAGTACTGTACTAGATTTTCTGATTTGCTATGGTGATGCAGTTGTTCATGGGCCAAATGGGTCACCATCTCCTACATCAGAATATGAACACTCATCCATTCCAGCAACAGTGAAAAAGCTCTTCAATTTGCCTTCATTTCTGACCAAGAGAGATGAATGGGCTGGAACATTTGAGGGGATTGTTCAGACCAGGAAAGAACCCAGGACTGATTGCCCAGGTTAGTAACCTTGATCAACTAATTGGACTATGATCTCAATTATGTATCAATAAGCAACAAAATCCCATTTGATAGATTATTTATTAAACACTACCACATATCGTGCATACATCCATATGCAATCAGAAAGCTTTATACCTTTAACAAGGCCCTCATTAAATTTGTTATTGCTTGAAATAATCTAATGGCTTTGACACGTACCTTTTCTCAACCTCTATAATCTGTGTGTATGTGCACATTGAATAAAATAAAGGTAAAATTTACTTCAAATATTATTTTTATATATAGGAGAAGTATCTTCTTACACTAGTATAAATCTAAAAACTCTTACACTCAATCTGAACTTTTCATTTAACTTGCACCTAATGGTTAGTATAGTAATAAATTATTACCTATTGGATGCAAGTTAAATGAATTAGTTTTTAGATTTAAACTGTTATATATATATATATATATATCCAAACATGCAAATAAAAAAGAGAATACGTGATACCCCCCTCCCCTATTTGAGTAAGGGAAAGAAAACTCCCAAATTTCTAAAGTTACTCTAGAATATTATCAACTAACAAATGTCCATTGAAAAAAAAAATTGTTACATTTTATAACCTTTAAATGCTCACGAATAACAGTAGGTATTCAGCATTTACCAATGCTTATTTTACACTTTGTTGATTCCAGCTGGTGTTATTTTTGTGCAGAGAAACTTCCAACCCCTACAAGGATCAGGAAGGGAGAGCCTAATGAAGATGCAAATCTCAGTGAATTTCAGCAAGAATTGATCCAACTTGCAGCTGTGCTTAAAGGAGACAATATCTTCACTAGTTTCCCAGATACAATAGGGAAGAACATGACTGTTAAGCAAGGGAAAGATTATATGGATGATGCAGTTAAAAGGTTCTTTGAAGCAGGTCGTTATGCTAGGAAAATGGGAGTGAGTGAAGAAACTATAGTTCAGATGAAGCCTTCTTTAACTACAAGATCATCCAAATCTGCAAACACAAAGCCTTAGAAAAATAGAAAAAAGTATGTAGCATGAGAGGGTGTAAGGAATGAACACAATCATTTTAATACAAATACAGATATTAATGTTTATACAAAACTGGAAAAGACACATGTTTTTTCATAGAAATATTGGTAAATTATATGGTATCCTTGGGATTTCATTTATTTATTGGATTCTCTCTCCCTCTCTCTTTCTCTCTCTCTCCTTTGCTGAGGTATGGTAGAGATCTCCATAACCAATATCTAAATCATCTGAATTTGGAATACATTAGTTGGAGAAAGACAATTACTTTAAGAGACCATGCATAATGAATTGGTGAATTGCATTTTTACCAAAATTAAAACATTTAAAGTCTCATAATCATTCAAATTTGACTTTTCCAAATGCCCTCTATTAAGTTTTAATTAACAACTGATTTATTAATTTTTTTCTTTGAACATGCTCAAACAAACCACCCCCACATGGAAATGATATGTTGTTAAGATCCCACATTGGAACAATGAAATTCTAGTGTGGAAGCTGATATTTGTTTCTCCCAAGGTTCTTACTTCTTATCAATTATTATCAGAGCCTTCCAGCATGTTTCTAGCTGCAATTGAGCAACATGAGTGGTGATGCAAGTATTACCTGAAACTAATCAAAGGAGCTAGTGCACTGCCAGCCCACATGGGTGCTAAGGCTGCGAAGCGTGGTGGAAAGTTAGGATCCCGATTGCAAGATATGGACCTTGAGTTCCACACTAGAAGTATGGATTCCAGTGTGGAATTTTTAACGCTTGGACTCTCTAAGACTAGCTATTGTAGTGTGGTTTTCTCAAGGTTCTTATCATATGTATAATACAAATATACTACAACTCAAAACTTAAGGGTTCCTTGCATTTACCCCTCTCTCTTTTGTTTTCCCTTTTCACTGCATAGTCAACAGATTGAACTGTAGATATAGCATTTTGACAAGGAGATTTTTCCATTGATTGCCGCTGACAAAAATCTATTGGAAAACAAGTTGACCAACGAACTAAAAATTCTTTTTATATGTTTCAATACCAATAATTAACTTGCTTTGAAAACAAATATACCACAAAAGCATTCTTATGAAAATTAAGCTATTTTTCACAGGTGATTGTTTCTCATCTAATAGCCACTGGCATGAGGGACCTAATACCTTATGGGTTATTTTATTTTCTTCAGCTTCTATTTAATGAATCCCATTTAGGTATATTAGCAGTAGCCTCATTGACCATCTTTACCAGCTGCACCTGCAAATAATCATCATGCGGCATCTATTAGCTGCCAAAATTAGCAATCACAAAATGACCATTGTACAAATGAAGATTCCGTTAAAACAATTATAATTTTATAGATCAAAGTAAAACTTTACAGTATCAACCCAAAACTACAGCAAACACTTATATACCCTGTCAAACAGTCAATGTCTACTCAATTGCTTTTCCAATGCCTAACCATTGGCACACAAGATTTTCATTCTTGAATAAAAGATTCCAGTTCTTCTTCTCTTTTTCTGTAAATCCTATCACATTTGGATTTGTGTTAGAGAGAGAAAGAACTTTTCTCTTAGAAGCTGAGGCTCTGGTTTGGGTTGCAAAGAGCTTGGGCTCCATTTCTGGTTTATAATAAAAATTACTTATTCCTGAGCGTTTCAGGATTCAGCCTAGCTTTCTGGTCCATCACTCTGTCAAATGACATGTTAAGTATTTATTTTAGATTTGGTTTTCTTCATTTCTATTAGACATTAACTAACCATAAAAGCCACATGATTGTGGTAACAAAGGTTGTACTGTTTTAATAAAGCTTTTTGGCTGTTGTTCAAACATGTTGTCCCCAAACTCATCATAAGAGGATATCAATATAAGCTCAGCTTCTCAGTGGTTGATATGCATGTTGTCAATTTGAAATTGCATGAAATTTTATGCATTTTCTTTTGGTATTTGTGAAATTATTTTTTGCTTCATGGCTAATTTTTATAAGGAAAATGTTAACATCTACCTTTTGGACTGATTTTAGGCATTCACAAGTGATAGGATTTCATTAGAAACAAAAGTATTTATCACATTGAAAACACAAAAATGTAATAAATATTTTTTTCTCAATAAAAAGAAAACTTATTTTTGTATGCTTAAAACTAGTCCTAAGAGTTGATGTTAACAAAATCACTTTTATAAAAGAATAATACCTTTTTTTTTTTCTCTCTAAGCTAATTATTTAATGCCACTGGTATGACATGTACTGCAACATGTAGTGGACCTGAATTTCTAAAACTGCTCCTAACTAATTCCCTTTTGCTATATATAGTGAAGGTGAATAATAGAAAATAAAAGAATAAGGAGTCATAACAGAAAATAATAGAATAAGGAGTCATACTCTACTAACTACTAACTAGACTGCTTCCTTTTACTAAAATAGACTATCCATGGTTTAGCTTTAGCTGCTGGAACATTATTTACAACAATATTAGGATTAGGAGCAGAAGTCACTTGACTGAGTCCTAACAAAATGCATAACTGAATTCCTCTATTCCACCTTCCCTCCGTGTACTATAATCCTATTTCCCCTAACCAACATGCCAACTTGACATTCTCCAAATCCTCAACCTTACATGTTTTCTTTTTCTTATGAACATACACTTTCCAAATCCTTGGCCTTTCAGAATTCTGGCCACATTCTGGATCAGCACTCTATCTTTCAACTAATTCCTTTTTTCCTATCATCTAGCTTTAGGAATTTACTAGTAATGGACTGGGTATTTATTGAAAAAAAAATAAAAATTGAAGACACAACTCCCTTCATTCTTAAATATTTCAAAAGTTCATGACATTTTAACATGTACATTATAAGAGTTAGAAAAAAGCAACAAGTTTAAATCAGAAATTGAAATAAATAGTTTCTAGTACAGATAACTCCAAAATCCCTACTCTCTTTTTATGAGGATTTAGGGAAAAAAAATGACATGAAAGAAGACTTTGGTCGGGGACAAGGAAAACATATTTTAAAAATTACATCAGTTGGAGATCAAATTTAGCTAATAATCTGGTTGATCCATCAATATTCGTGATTATGGTCAAACAATCTATCTTTTGATTTTCTTAATAATTAATAGGTAATAGCTTCTTCACAAAAATGAATATCAAAAAGGTGCAAAACTATTTAAATGGTTTGGGAAATAGCAACTATCTGTTAGACCTCTAACCAGGAAGATGTATGTAAGGAAAAAGAAAGGTGGGCCAGCCCCTGATTAGCAATAGAATGACTGATAACTAACCAATAGTCACAAGTGGAGAATAAATAGGAGAAAGAGAGAGAAGTGAAGGACATCTTGGTTAATCACTTAGATTAGACTAGGAGAGATAGGGACTATGTTGTACAGGATTTGTTGTAAAGCATTCTGCACTTGTATGGGGGTATCAATTTCCCAACAAGGGTCATTTTTCAATAATACATTATTCTTTCCTGGATTTTGTCTCTTTTCTTTTCTGTTCCAATCCCTTTAGTCCAGTACTATCTACTAGTATCAATGTACTCAATTATGTGGTGCATAGATTGCTAATGCCAATGGTACACACAAGAATGGAGGCTCAATTAGAATCTTTGTAGCTTGGTTTTGAGAAAATCCTTCAACGGCTCGAGGATGATAAACAAGAAATGAAGAAATTATTCCAAGAAGCCATTGCAAATGTCACTTGAAATTCTTAGTAAGAAAATTGCAGTGTAGAGGAAGAAAGCTATTGAGGGGAAGATGCAAGAAAAGACCAAGCACCAGATGGGGGTGGGAAAGAAAGATGGAGGAAGTTAAAGATTCTTATATTTTCAGGATAGGATGCATATGGATGGGTGAATCACGTAGAGAGATATTTCAATGTAATTGGTATCTCTGAGGAGGAAAAGTTACAAGTAGCGTTGATAGCCATGGAAAGGAAGGAGTTGACATGGTATCAATGCTGAGAGTACTGCACTCAAAACCCTAATTGGTAGGATTTCTGACCAGCAATAATAAGGAGATTCCAACCCTCAATGTTGCAAAATCTGTATGAGATGTTATTAAGTCTGAAGCAAACAACAACTGGGAAGGAATACTAGAAACAGTTTGAGTTGTATGCCAGTCCCCTCAAAGGGGTGAATTTAGAATACCTTAGAGGAATGTTTTTAAATGGCTGTAGGAGGTGATTCGAGCAAAATTGAGGTTACAACATATATATAATTTGCCAGAACTCATGGATCAGGCTCAAAGGATTGATGAGAAGAATATGCTGATCTCAAAAGGGGCTAGCAGTAATTGCAAGGGGATAGGGTTAAACAATAACTGCCCTTCTTCCAGAACAGTATCTTGGGAGGTGGGAAATAGAAGTTCAAATATCATAGGGGTTGGTGAGACCAATGTTGGGGAAAACTTGCATGCCATTTGAGGAGGAGATTCTAATAGCCTTAAAACTATTGGTGTGTACAAAGGTAGAGGGTTCAGGAAACTATCGAATGCTAAGTGGCATGAGAGATTAAAAAAGGGCCTATGTTTTTTAAGTGTGATGAGAAATATGGGCCTGAGCATTTATGTAAAAACAAGCAATTACAAGTTTTGCTGCTAAATGAAGAAAGTAGTGAAGAGGAAGAAAATGAGCTCCCTAATTGTAAAGAGCTGGAGCACAAATTCCTTCACTGTCAATGTACAACATAATAGGCTTGACCTCTACGAAGTCCACCAAAATGTGGGGAAAAGTGAATGGGAGAAAGGTAGTAGTCTTAGTAGATTGTGGAGCCTCCAACAACTTTATATCTTTAGCTCTGGTGAATGAAGCAAACCTGCCAATAACAAAGACTTCCTCATACAATAAGATCTACTAGCTCATCCTAGATTTTCATTAGTTCATGAGTACTAGTTCACAAAGGGAGATTGGTGATTCTTTCACAATCAATTCATATCCCTAAGTTACTAGAAGAACACCATTCTTCTCGTCAAGGGGGCCATTCAGGATTCTACAGAATATATAGGCGAATTATAGTAAAGTTGTATCGGGTGGGAATAAAGAAAAAAGTTCAGGAATTTGTTCAAACCTATGACATTTGTCAATGGCAAAAATATTCAACTCTTGCTTTGG